AGCCTTTGGCTTGTCTTTTTATTCATTTGTGAGTAAACAGACAGTGTTTCATATTGCAGAAGTTTTTAATTTTAATGAAGTCCAACTTACTAATTCTTTCTTTCACAAATTGTGCTTTTGGTGTTGTAGGTAAAAGCCATCACCATATGCAGCGTCACCTAGATTTCCTCCTATGTTGTCTTGGGAATTTTACAGTTTTGCATTTTACATTTAGGCCTATGATCCATTTTGAGTTCATTTCTGTGAAGGGTGTGAGGTCTGACTCTAGATTCATTTTTCTGCACATGGATGCCTAGTTGTCCCAGCACCATTTATTGAAAAGACCATCTTTCTCCATTGTGTTGCCTTTGCTCCTTTGTCAAAGATCAGTTCGCTTTATTTATGTGGGTCTATTTCTGAACCCTCTATCCAATTTCACTGATCTATTTGTGTGTTCTTTTGTCACTACTACACTGTGTCTTGGTCACTGTAGCTTTATAATAAATCTTGGAGTCAAATAGGGTCAGCTCTCCAACTTTGTTCTTCTCTTTCAATGTTGTGTTGGTTATTCTGGGTCTTTTGCCTCTTCATTTCAACTTCAGAATCAGTTTCTTGAATTGTACAAAATAACTTGATGAATTTTTTTCATGGTCTAATCTTCCATTATTTTATGATTTTATGTCTGCCTTTTTAAAAACCACTTTATTGAGGCATGAACATACAAAAAGCTGTACATATTTAATATATACAACATGATGAGTTCGGAAATAAGCATATACCTGAGAAACCGTCATCAGAATCTATGTCATAAACATATCTATCACCTCCAAAAGTGAACGTGCTACCTTGCAAGGTAGATTCTGCATAGGCTTGGGAGAGAGAGCGCGAACCATTCTAGGAAAGTGAAGTAGGCTCCTGGCAAGCTGTCCACTTTCCATAAAAAATGGCAAGTTTTGGCCACTTCAGCCTGTCAGCCATGACTCACAGACAAAGTCATGGACAAAGCCATGGATGAGAGCAGCAGCTGGCGCTGGTACGGTGCAGTTTCCTGAGCTGAGTGCTTTGTATGTCAGGACTAAAGTAGAGTCCCACCTCTGCCAGCACCACGACTGATAGAGATGGCTCCTGAAACTTCTGTTGTGTAGGATAATTTGAACTGTCTGCTTCTCTGTCCTCCACATGCTGGTGTTGTGTCTGGCAACCACAACAAAACATGTTAGTAAGAAACCCTGGATTCTTTTCATAGATGGTGGTAACAGAAAAGACATTCCATTCTCATTGCTTTCTCCATGGAAAATGCCATGTTTAGAATTTTTTCAAAGTATGCCAAGAAACTGTGCTCTTTGGCTTGAGAAAGCTCAGTGGCCTGCATCTGTCAACTTCTGCCACTGTTGTGAGGTCATCGCTCAGCATTTATAGACTGCTTGTACCAAGAACTTTCCAAGCTGGTGAGTAATAGGCGTTTCCTGAGAAGTAAATGTAATACAGCTACTTCTTGATTGGATTCCAAATAAATTATATCTATAAACATAAATCAGTATATCCTTTTAACCGAGAGAGAGAGGGAGAGACAGAGAGAGAGAGAGAAAGAGAGAGAGAGAGAGAGAGAGAGAGAGAGAGAGAGAGAGAGAGAGAGAGGAGAGAGAGAGAATATATTTGTTCTAGGTATTGAATAAACACAGGATTCAAACAGACTTTGAAAACTCATTTAATATCACTCTATTTTCACTTAATATGCAGAGTAATGTTCAAAATACTGAACAACAACTGTGATCACCGCACCACACATTAATCCTATAGCTGCTGGACTAGGAGTGGGTCAGGGCCTCCGGGTAGAAGCTACTGCTGAGGCTTTAGGGAGCCATGTTTTGTTTACCCGAACAGTTGATACAGGTCATTGCAGCTCCATATCCTACCACTGATACATGCTGGCTGGATATGAGCCCTGGTAATGGCCGACTCAGCATGGAAAGCTGTCCTCTTTCCTGCGACCTAGCACACGTCTCTGACCGAACATGGCGCCACTTCCTGCTGAGTCCAAACACGGTTACAGACTCTACTCCCACCTTCAAACAAAGCAAGTTGTCTGTTTTGAGATAAACTGCTCTTCATCTATGACCTGAAAGAATGGCAAAGAAATGAGAATCCACAATTTCCTTTTAGTACCAGTTCTTCTTCACAGTCATGTTATAAGGAACTCTTTGTCATGTGTCCCATATGGCACTCACTTGCCCCTGGAGGGGAAACCTTACCCAGTCGACAGGCTGACACTGACTTTTAAACACATCTTGCTCTGGTCTTACTGTATTTCCTCTGAACCAAACAAGTGAGCACCTAGTTATGTAATAATTTGTACTATCTTCTAATTATTTCGTGTTGGGAAGCCTTACTCCTCTTAGCAAGGTTAGCTAGCTTACTGTCTCAGGGTCATATTTTGTATTTATTTGGGATTGACCACGGCATTGTACAAGATCTGTAGTCAATATTATTTCCATTTCTATTGCTTATATTTACCATAGCTACATCTATAGATTATACATTGCTTTTATTTGTATTATTTATGTATCTATCACTACTTTAACAAATTACCACAAACTTAGTGGCTTAACACAACACAAATATATTATTGGCAGTTCTGTAGCTTTGGAGTCCAACATTCAACTCATGAGTTGAATGAGGCAGGGTCCAGCGTGTGCAGAGTCAGACCTTGTATTTATTTAAAATTTTGTTATTTTGTTCATCATGCTTTTAAAAGGAATTTTGAATTTTAAAAATACTGCATTAAAATGCTGTTTATCTTGGTTACTGAGTGTGTGGCTTCTCCCCACATCTGCTCTGACATCTAGCCAAGTATTGGGTGCCGTCTCGGGGGAACGGCATTGCTTCATGGGGGCCCACGCTGGGAATCTGGACCGTCAGCTCTGCTTCTGATGGTCCTTGGGGGACTTCAGTCCGCAGCTCCAGGCCAGGACTTAGCGAGAAGCCCAGGAGACAGGCCTCAGGAGAGGGCCACCTGCCCACACCTTGATCTTAGACTTCTAACCTCCAGAGCTGTGAGAAGCAAACGACTTGTGTTTAAGCCCCCAGGCTGTGGCAGTTTGCTGTGGCAGCCCCAGCGGACTCACACACACATCACAGAGAAACAGGATGAGCGCTCATGTCTGTGAAGTACAGACAGGCTTGTCTCAGGGCGGTGTGGCTGTTACCAGTTAGGGCACTATGAGGCCATGCAAAGAGCTAGAAGCACATCCTTGGTGGACCTTTTATACCACAGACGAGATCGTCCATCTTATAACTTGGCCAGCATTTTCCAAAGTCTGATCCTGAGAACATTAGTTCTACAGTATGCTAATAACTTTTTCTGGAAAATAGGAGTAGCTTTGGACAATATTATAATTACTATAAAGCAAATACTTTTCTTGTTTCAGGGAAAATGTATCTACCAAAGAGTATAAGGTAATAAGCAATGATTTTCACCAAATAACCTAAAAATTTAATTCATCTATTTGGACCTTAACGAAGTAAATCTTCGTTGATAACATCTGAAAACACAGGAAGGGAATACATTTTACTCCTAGCCATTTTTGGATAGTGCTAATCTAATCAAAAGATGGAATGACCACAAATTAAGTACTTGAAATATTTTTAGTCATTCTGGGTTTTCTGTACATCTTTGCTTGTGACCAGGGGTGTGAGGTTGCGCAGACAAGAACGGCACTTCTGCCTTTGCTTGCTCTCCAGCTGCAATGGAACGGGCTCCGAGCTGCATCTTAGAACCAGGGAAAAGCCGCGCCGAAGGGCTGCCCTACTCCCAGCCTGGCTTTTTAGGGCACATGAGGCTTTGTTCATGGACATTTTCCTGATCATCTGATGAAAGCCCATCACGACTAAACTCAGTGATGGTGGTTTGATGGTAAACGCAGATGTGGAACGCACATAAAAATGTCTGTGACAATGAAACCCGACTGCCTGTTGACAGAATTCTAGTGGCCAGGGCTTAGGACCAGGAGTAGCACTGCATTTCGGTTTCTTCAGTCATTACTTGTTGAAGCATTGCTAAATATCTGTGGTGAGCCTAGATTCTGTGGATTTTGCTCTTGTGTTTCCCAGTCCTTTTAAGTTTGAAGTGCTTCAAGCTCACTGTGGTTTTAATGACTCAGAGCACTTGCACCTGGCACAGAATGTCACTTGTTTGTTCAAAGGGACCGCCAGTTTCTTGGGAAAGAACACTGCAGAGATGACATGCTTTTCGAGGTTCCCACAGCTGCTTAGGAGAGCTGGTGGTTAAAGAAAAAAATGCAGACTGGCATATTTACTTTTTAAAGCAGGACAAATGTAAACAGTTTTTATGGTTCTGTGTTTATGAGGGTGACACACTCCATCTCAGGTATTTAAATATGAATAAGGAAACACTCCTGCCCGAGGGGCGCAAAGCCCACGGCTGGTGGAACAGGCAGGCTGCAAAGGGGCCTCCTCGCAGGAAAGGGCACGGGCGCGGGCGCGGGCTGTGGGAGTGGGCGTGGGCCGCCGGCCCCGCATCGTCGGCTGCGCGCGGGCTCCCTGAGGAGCTGTTTTCCAATAAATAAACCGACACCGGCGAGCGTCCCCGACTAGCCCACGATCCCACGCGCGGGAGATTCTGGTGCTCGTGTGCCCAAGAAACGGCCTGTGGCTTCTGCTCCGCGCGCAGTGCGCTCCGGCCGTGGGGCTGCGCCGCCGCCGGTCCCGCAGCCTGAGCGTGGGACGCCCCGGCTCCACGAGGCCACGTTTAGGGCGCCCCCCACCCTCCTCCCACGGGTCCGCCCCCCCGCCCTGGTCCCCCCCTCCTTCTTCACTCGCTCCTGCGGGCTCCACGCGTATTCCCTTCGCGTCTGCGCGCCTCGGTTTCCCCGTGCGTGGGGAGCCCTCGGCCGGGTTTTCCGCGGAGGTCCGCCCTCCAGCCTCCCGCGCCCGCCCGTTGCCCGCAGCGTGGCGCGGACCGGCTCCGAAGGCAGCGAGGAGGGGCCCGGCGGCGGCTGCCGTGCGTGGGGCCTCGCGGCCGTGGGGAGCCCTGCGGGCCGTGCGCGGCGCGGGGGAGGCCGGGCGATGGGAAGCGCGCGTGGGAGCCAGACAGACGCCCCGCGCCCGCCCCGGTCCCTCTCCGTTCAGGGGCTCGGGCGCCGCTGCGCTCAGCGCGCGTCCCCGGACGAGGACCCCGAGCCTCCCGGGGGGACGCTCCTCCCGCGGCTGCGGGCGCGGCCGGAAGCCTGAGGCGGGCCCTGCCGCCCGCGACGCCGTTCAGCGGGACCGACGTCCAGCCCTTGCGGCGGCGGAGCTCGGCTCCTGCCCGGGGTCGCCCTGCCCGGGGCGCCTGGGCCCGCGGGTCGGCTCAGAAAGACCGGGGTCTGGTGTCGGCGCCGCAAACCACACGTCCCGCCCCGCGGCTCACATCGCGGTGTGGCTGCGCGAAACTCTGCAAAGTCTGGTGCCACCCGTCAGCTCCTGGGGTTAAGCGGTGGCCTCAGGACTTGCCTGACTGTTGCCGGGAAGGCACAGGCACCGGGCGGCTTTGCTGCGGTAACAAGGGGGCCCCGACGACAGGAAGGCCCCTCTCCAGGCGGCCTGGGCGGCGCCTCCATTCCTGACCCTCGTCGGACGCCAGGCCTCACGGTCCCCCTCGGAGGTGCACTCTCAGAGGCACCTGTCACTTGCGTGACACCGCGACTGCGACATTCCAGAGCCATCGGAATACGTAGGAGCCAAGCCCAGCTCCCACCTCCTCGCTGTCCAGTGTGGGAGTAAAACACCAGGAGAGCAGGGACTTGAGGGACACATGACAGCGGCGCCTGGTTTGCAGGGAGCGGTGGCTTATGTGGGACCTTGAAGTGAGGTTGAGAGACAAATACTTATCTTCGTCGTGGGCCTGCAGACGGGAGAAACGGCTCTTGCTGGTGACTAAACTCACCTCAAAACACTTTTAAAAACGACTTTTCTTAAGCAGGGTTGCCAGGCCCAGAGACATCTCTGGGATTAAGTGTGAAAAGATTTTTGGCATCTGGATTGTTAATTCCTGGAATTAGTGTGTGGTTTGGGATTGGCAGTCTGAGTTTGTAGCTTTTTCTTTTATTTCAGTGTTTATAGCTGGGTTTCTTCTTTTTCTTTTTCTTGTCTTCCCCTCTCTCTCCCATTTCTTGAAGCTAAGAAAACAATTTGACTGTTTGTTGAAAGTCAGGTCTCACTATAGCCAGAAATAGGGGAGCAAGGAATTTGCAATGCCCCCGGAAGGTCCTTAAAGAAAGGAGGGAAGGCAGTGTTGGGGGATGAACACAGGACAGAAGTCCTTGCTTCAAATATCGCTTCTCACATTGTGGGAATTTGAGAAATGCTGACAGCGGAGCAAAGGGCTTTGGCTACCACGAGATCTGGGAGCAAAGCCCATGGCAGAGGCCATGTTAACTCTTACTGGGCCACCAGAAGCAGAGATGATGACGATCAGCAGCAAAAGCACAGACTCTGCAGGGTGTGGTGGAAACTCGTGGCAGTAAAATTAATTGTTTAACAGAACTTCCCCCCTGTTGAATTTGTGTTACGTATTCTGGACAGCTAGTATACACAGACTGACACCTGGATAAGGTTAAAGCAAGAAGATTTTTCTTTTAATCTTTTCTCCACCCCACCCCCTCATTTTCCCACAAAACATCACATTTCTGCTCTGATCTTTGATGAGTATGTGACATGTCAGTACAATGAGGCTAAATCGTAAGGTGTTTTTTTTTCTTTTTTCTGTTTTAACTCATTGAAAGAGCAGAACTCTTTTTTTCTGGAAATGCTCCCTTGAAGGGTGTCATGAACTTGAACGCTACCATGTTGGAAGGCTTGCCTGTGAGTGAGCCTACGCAGAGCATGGGGGACAGATGGGGAGACAGGCTGTTGTCACAAGTTGGGCCCCAGACCCAGAGCATCAGAGGTGGCTCTGCTATTGGGACAATGCATCTTCTGTTTTGACATAAACCAGTTGAGTGGAATTCCTGGCCGGTGCCCTTGTTTTGTTTGAAATTGTTTCTGATGAGAACTTGCATTTTTGAGATTTTGGCTGGATGACTAGTTTTGCAATAGTCTCATAGTTTGTGTTAACCATTTCAGATGTTGCAAAATGGGGCATTGTGAGAGCTGAGTTTGGGTTAATCCAACCTTGGGTGTTCCACATGCTGGTGGGTGACTCAGGACATGGGTGCTGGGAGACGAAGCACAAATCAAGCGAGTCCCTGAGTTGGAATTTGTTTGCTGGCAATGAGAAAAATCAAAGCGACCACACTTTTATATCTGAGGTTTTATTTCTTTTTACTATAATCTGACAGAGGAATTAACTTTAACTTTCATCTGCCTGTAAAATCTTAATAGGAGAGAGGGCTCTACCTTGTGGTCGTTTCATCTGACTGTGCTGTATTTGTGCTAAGCCACCCAGTGGCACGAACTGGACAACCTCCCTTAGTGTGGCTGTGCTATGAACAGGCACATGGCCACTCATGACAGACGGGGGATAAGCAGAAACCTGGGAGACAGCCCAACTCATGTCTGTCCAGACACATTTCTCAGGCAAAAATGAATCCACCCATCCCTTTCCCCAGGAACATCCACTGTGGTCGACTTTGGGGGTGTGGAGTTAGGAGAATGAGGACAGGATCACCTTGACACGCTTCGGTTTTCATCTCGGTGGGGTGTGTGGGCTGGCATCTCAACACACGGTGGATGAGAAGAGAGGACCGTTGTTGGCCTTCTCCCACCCCGGGAATGGGAAAACCAGTGTGTTGCTTCAGGGTAGGGAAAGAGCTACCATGATTTTAATGTCGCCAAGTTTTTAACAGCTCCTCCCTTCAGAACACAGAACTTGTCCAGGTCAGTACACCTGCAATCCTCCTTTTCTGCGCCTTCAGCTGGCAGTGTTCACGAGCAGGAAGACCATCATCTTAGAAAGCAGTGGATAAGAGAGAGGTCTCTGCAGAATGTAACGTGCCGCATCTCATTACGGAGCGGTGAGCTCAGCAGTGTGATAGACCCACATTCCAAAAGCTGAGTGGCGCTTTCTCTCATTTATCTCCTCAGTCTCTAACTTTTCCATCTACGTGTGAAAAATCAGGAAACTTCCGGAGTGGAATCGGCGTCATCCCACACAGTATGATGGTAATACCTTCTGCTCGTCGTGTTAGCTCAAGACAAGCTCATGAATCAAGGGTTTATGGAGCTTACGGATCAGTTTGCTTTGCTGTCAAAATTCCATTCATCAGACCAATATTTGGAAAGTGTTCTAAATATATTTATTTCAGTTTTTTAAATCTTCAGCTAGAAATTCAATAAATAAAAATAAAATGGTATTTTCCTGTATTTGGTTGAGCTGAATAATGGGCTGTTCTTTGTTACTTAAGACTAATTTTTAAGATTTCCCCCACCACCATCCCTTTAACAGCTTTTAACGAAGGTCACATTCAAGTTGCTCAAGTCTGTTTAGTACACCAAAATATATTGTTCTTTCACTGAAATATTTTTTAGACATTCATCTCGCATTTTAGTCCTTCAATCTAAAAAAACAATTGATGTGAATGGAAGATTCTTTGCTATTATTTACAAAAGTAATACAAAGGCTTCCAGACTATTGTCTGTTCAGTAATAGGATTTGGAAAACGGTGCTTACTATTATGCAGTCATTTCAATATGTTAAAATTTCTCTTCGATTATAGTTAATCTCTTTGCATGGGTAGTAGGTAGAATGGTTATCTGATTTGTGGGAAGCTGCTGGGCTCACAGTGTCCAGATTTGATAGGTACAGACAAATCAATAATTCTTTTAAGAAAAATTAGCCCCTCGGGTTCCTAGAGAGTCTGTGCTTTGTCTAAAGCAATTCACTATATTTATGTTTGGTGTAATCTTTTACTTGATTATATAGTGTTTTTTTCCCTGATAGGAGCACTAAATACTCAATAAAACTATTAAGTTTTGAGATTGCTTAAGGGGAGAGGGTGCATCTACTATCTGCTTGTTTACTAGAGGTCCAAGAATGGAACTATTAACTGGAAACCCTTAGAATATATTCCTGGGTTGCTTAGAGGCACCCTTGGGTGTTGTTCCAAGTCTGTTTCTTGTTCTGCACTCATAGTCAAGAAATTCAGATGACTGTGGGTGAAATTCTGCCTTCCTGAACCTCAAATATTTTCCTGACTTGGGAATAATTTTATCTCCTCATTCTATTCATGAATAATGAAAAAGTTTAAATTTGGATGCTCTCCAGTCCTTTCTTAGGACCACGGTAGAATGCTACATCTCGGTTACTTGTTGCTGCAATTAGAAGGATATGCTGAGCTGCCAGAATCGCAGATACCAATTAAAACCAATGATTTAAGAGCTCTAAAATTCATCATAATTTACAGTGAAAACAACAGACCCATGGAGATATTAAGCTGTTTCTATTAGGTGTTAGTATAGAATTTAGAGTGCGATCTGGTTATCCTGGATAAATCGTGTTATTTATTGATACAATGCTCTTTATACTGTTAACCCATTCTTCTTAAATATGCAAAAAGCATTATCTGTAGAGATTACTTTAAATTATCAAGGTGCTTTCATTGTTATGGAAGATACTGCTGTAACATTACCACTACATTTTTAACAATGAAAAGAATGTATTACGAAGACATGGTTTCTCATAGGTAATATTACTAGAAGCCAAAATGATAGAGGAAGCAGAGATATATATGCCATTATATAATATAAGGGACTTAAATATTAAAACGTAGGCTGTGCTAGTGAAGCAGTGAATGGAGCAGATGATAAGCACGTATGGAACGTGAGAGAGCGTGCAGCAGCCACCACTGCCGGTGCAGGGAAGGGTACACACAGGGCGTGGAGGAGGCAGCGCGGTGGGGGACTGGCGGGGTCACAGGCCAGCGGGAAAGGACGTGATTACTTCTGTTTCTCGTGTTGCTGCAAAATTTGTAGTCTTGTGTTGTGTTTGCATTTGAAGCTATGAGCGTGGCGGTGTCTTGCACACTTCATTTTGTCTGCTCTCATCTTTACCACTTATTTCCCCCTCAGCACGTATCTTTAAAGTCGTGCGTGTCATGGAGTGCTCTCCGCGCTGCGCCTCTGCCTCCTGCGTGGTGCTTCAGGAACACAGCGTCTCCCCCTCTCCCACCCACTTGCCTTCTCCTCTAGCAACAGAACCAGGGTACCTCCAGCTCCCCGCTCCACAAACAGTGCTGTGAAGGACGTCCCCAATGGGTCGCCTGTGGCTCAAGGTAAGAATTGCCTTGGGATAACAAATATAGAGAAAATTTATTGTTTTGCTCAAAAAAGAAAAAAAACCCTAAAAACATTACATATATGAATTAATTTATTGATAGAAATTGATATTTTATAACTCATCCAAGAGCATGAAATTAAATTTTTTTCTCCAAATTAAAGTTTTTCTCAACAGATGTCTTATGAATGTTAGATTTAGATAATGTTTACCATACTTCTTAGTTTTTCTTACTATTTAATCTTATTTTTACTTATGGTATTTTATTTTTATTATGTTTAATGGTTATTGCTGGTGTGCAGAAAAATACTAAGTAATTAATTTATATCAACAAATTTGTTGAACTAGTATGTGTTCAAGTAGTCTATTCTACCTTTTTTCCTGATAGATAATCAAATAATCTGTAAATAAGAAATTATCTCTTCCCTTCTAATGCTTACACCTCTTTTTTCTTTCGTTATGGCCTAGACCTGCAATTCCAGTATCGTGTCAAATCCTCTCAGTGATGATGTGCTTTTTCTCTGGCTCCTGAACTTACTGCTATTTTCTCTATCATGCTTAACATCTGTAATAGATGTTTTTTATATAAAAACTTTACAAAGTTAAAAAGTTCCCTTCTCTTCCTGGGTTGCCAAGAAGTTTCATCATTAATGTGAAATGTTTTTTACTGTATTGACTGAGATTCATTAATTGTATTATTTAGGCCAAGGACTGGCAGCCTGGTTCTACAGAAGGCCAGATAGTAAATATTTTAGACTGCAGACCACGCCGTCTCTGTCACATATGCTTTGGTTTGTCTTGTTTGTTTATAACCCTTTAAAAACATAAAAATCATTCTCAGCTCAAGGGCTTATAAGAACATATTACTGGGCCGGCCGAGTGGCGTGATGGTTAAGAACTCGCTTGGGATGCCAGAGGGCCCCGGTTCGGATCCCACATATGAGGGCCAGTGACACTGCCCTCCACAGCTAAGATGCTGAACAACAGCTCAACCTGGAGCTGGGCTGCCATGAGTCGCCGGCGATGGCGTGGGCTGCAGTCCCTGTGGCAGTGGATTGCCATGGGCTACCGTGAGCGGCCAGCAGCCAGCGTGAGCAGCCAGCAGCCGCAGTGAGCGGCCGTCCAGAAGCCGGCGACTGATCTGCCTCGCCAGAGAAGAGCGCAATGATGGTGCCAACTTGGGCCAGTGAAGCAACATCCTCCACAACTAGATTGAAGAACAAAAGGACAGCAACTTGTCTGTTCCCCTTCCCCCAATTCCCCAGCACTGTTCCCATCCCCCCAATTCCCCAATAAAAAAATCTTTAAAAAAAAAAAAAAAAAAAAAGAACATATTACTGGGTGCTGTTTCTGAGTCCACCCTGGAAGTCTCAGTTACTGTATTTTAATTTTGCTCAATATCAGGCAAATTTCCCGATCACGCTCCCTTTAAGCCATTAGGGAGAAATAAATCGCAGCTCTGCGGTCTGAAGGGGAGGTGGTGAAGGGGCAGACACCCAGAGAACTGCACACTGTCCCACCACCTCCCAGGGCCTTCCCGCCCGCTTCTGATGCCCTCAGAATCAGTGTCAGTGTTGGGATGTTGCTGCCAATTTCCAGTAATAAAGTGCATGCAGCAGTTAGCCAAGGATAACAGTGGGGGAATCAAAACAGATTTTTATAAAGATTTGGCTTAATTTCTTTTCTCATCACCACCTCCAGTGGCGCCTAGGCCACTCACCATCTGAATACTACCTACCAATTTAGGAATTATGCTTTTACTGTTGGATTTTTTTTAAAAAAGTGCCTAGTCCAAGATCACAAATATTTTTTCTGTTTCCTTCTAGAAATTGAAAAACAATTTACATTTGGTCCATGATTCATATTGGTGAATGTATTAGTTACAAGGTATGGGTCCAAGTTCATCCGTTTGCATGTGGCTGACCTGCTGTCCATCACCACTCAGTGCGGGCTCTCCTTTCCCCACTGAATCACCCAGTCACACATGTCAATTGACCATACATGTGTGGGTCTGTTTCCAGACATTTTTTTCTGTTCTGTTGAAGTACGAGGTCAGACAATGAACTTGTTGCAATGATGTTGTTAACCTTTTTTGATATCAGGATTATTCATTATGAATTTGTACCAACTGGACAAACAGTTAACCAAGTTTACTAGTTGGAAGTGCTGAAAAGGCTGCATGAAAAAGTTAGACGATCGGAACTTTTCACCAACAATTCATGGCTCTAGCATCACGACAGTGCACCAGCTCACACGGCACTGTCTGTGAGGGAGTTTTTAGCCAGTAAACAGATAACTGTGTTGGAACACCCGCCCTGCTCACCTGATCTGGCCCCCAATGACTTTATTTACCCAAAGGTAAAGGAAATACTGAAAGGAAGACATTTTGATGATACTGAGGACATCAAGGGTAATACAATGACAGCTCTGATGGCCATTCCAGAAAAAGAGTTCCAAAATTGCTTTGATGGACGGACTAGGCACTGGTGACAGTGCATAGTTTCCCAAGGGGAGTACTTCGAAGGCGACCGTAGTGATATTCAGCAGTGAGGTAAGTAGCACTTTTCCTAGGAAGAGTTTGTGAACTTAATTGTCAGACCTTCTGTTTCTCTATCTTCACGCCAATAGCACATTGTCTCAATTACTGCTACCTTATAATAAATTTTGAAATTAGGTTTTATGTCTCCAAATTCGTTCTTTTTCAAAATAATTATGGATTTTAAAGATCAGATTCATTTGAATGAATTTTAGAATTAGCGTGTGAATTTCTACCAAAAGATGTGCAGATTTTCTAGTGGGTCGGTCAGGGAGGGAGGGTGGTTGGAGATTGCAGTTAATCTTAGAGCCAGTGGAGGAGAATTGATACCTTAATAATATTGAGCTTTCCGTCCCTGAGCATGGTGGTGCCTCTTTCCATTTGTTTTGTGGTTTTCAGATCTTGCATATGTTTTGACAAACTTATCTCCAACAATTTCATAATTTGATGTTATTTTAAATGGTATTTTATTTTTTACTTGTTTATTTATTTTTAAAGATTTTATTGGGGAATTGGAGGAGGGGAACAACAATGGGGAATTGGGGGGAGGGGAACAGACAAGTTGCTGTCCTTTTGTTCTTCAGTCTAGTTGTGGAGGACGTGGCTTCACTGGCCCATGTTGGTATTATCATTGCACTCTTCCCGGGTGAGGCAGTTGCTTGCCGGCCATTGGACGGCCACTCATGGCTCATGGCAGCTCATGAAAGCTCACGCTAGCTGCCAGCCAGCCCCACTGCAGCCTACGCCGTCACTGGTGACTCACGGCAGCCCAGCTCCAGGTCGAGCTGTTGTTCGTCATCTTAGCTGCAGAGGGCGCAGCGTCACTGGCCCTCATGTGGGATCCGAACCCAGGCCCTGCTGCTCAGAGCAGGTGTCCCAAGCCACTCGGCCAGCCCTTAAATGTCAATTTCAGATTGCTTGTTTTTAAGATATAGGAAAACAACTGATTTTTATATATTGGTCTTGTATTATGCAGCCTTGCTAAACTCACTAGTATTTTTTACAGGTTCCTTACTTTTTTCTACAGAAACAATCAGATTGTCTATAAATACAGTTTTACTTTTCACTTCCAATCTAGATACATATATATTTTTTTGTTACCCTATTGCACTGAATAGAATCTCTAGTACATTGTTGACCAGAAGTCATAAGAAGGGACATTTTTTGCCTTGTTCCTGATATTTTGGGAGAATATGTTTTTTTTTTTCCTCACTAAGTTCAAGGAAGTTCCTTCTGTTTCTTATTTGCTGATTTTTCAAATGCCTTTTTCAGTATCTAATGAGGTGGTTGTATATACTTTACTTTGTAACTATAGTGAATTCTAGTGTTTGATTTTTTAAATATTAAACAAGACTTGTATTTCTTTGGTAACCGTCTACTGATCATCATGTTTTGTTCGTCTGATAAAGCTTTGGAGTAGACTTGCTGAAATGTTAAGAAGTTTGTGCCTGTTCTGTGAGGCACGTGGGTGCTGGGTTTCTTTTCTTGCATTGTGTTGGATTTCAGAGAAACACTTAGTTTATGGGAAGAGTTCTGAGTAGTCTCTCTTCGTAAATTTTCTGTAATAATTTATGTAAAATTGGTATCACTTCTTCTTTAAGTATGTGTTAGAATTCATCAATGAAACTATTCAGGCTCCAAGTTTCCTTTGTGGGAAAGTTTTAATTAGAAATTCAGCATCTTTAGTAAAGATAGGGCAGTTCTCTTCAATCATTTCTTTCTGATGAGCTTTGGTTGTTTGTGTCAATGAATTTCATCTAGGTCATTAAATTTATCATTAAGTTGTTCATAATGCTTTTTATTATTATTTAAACATCTGTAAGACCTGTAGTTATGTCACCTCTAACATTCCTGATATTGGTAATTTGTGTCTTTTTTCTGTGTTCAGTCTCGTTACACATTTATAAATTTTGTTGATGTTCTCAAAGAGCCAGCTTTTGGTTTCATTGATTTTCTGTACTGTTTTTCTATGTTCTATTTTTTTTTATTTCTGTTCTTCATGTTTTATTTAGTCTCCTGCTTACTGTGGATCTAATTTGCTCTTTTTTTTCTCATATTTCATGATGGAAACTGAAGTCATTTATTTCAAACATTTTCTTCCCTAATACAGGCATTCAGTCCTATAAATTTGTCATTAAGCAGTGCTTTATCTGCATCTTACAATGTTGTATTCTCATTTCATTTGAGATGAAAACATTTTTTAGTTTCCATTTTAATTTCTTTTACAACAGTGGGTTATTTAAAAGTGTTTCATTTATTTCAAATGTTTGAAGGTTTTCTTGATGTCTTTCTTTAATCGATTTCTAGTTTAATTCCGTTGTTGTTGTTTTAAGCCACTATGTTTTGGGGGCGACTGGGCAATGTGGCGACTGGGTAACGCATAAAGAATTCTCATAAATAAGCAAAGTGAGGCCTTTTGAGCTTCCTTTGCTCGGCCTGCTCCCAACTCTTTGGAGTGTCCTTTCTTTTCTAACAATGGCCCTTGAGCCATTCTCTACCGCCTGGGCCGCTGCTGCTTCTTTGAAATGTATTTTTACTGCTAATAAACCCCTTTTCTGCAGCTTTACCTCTCTGGCCCGTGTCTCCATTCAGCGGTCCGCGAGACCACGACCCTGGCACAAGAAGTACCCGACATCAGTATCTAGTGATCGCTGAGAGTTCAGGGAGGAGGCGTTCACCAGTTAAGACCGAGTGCGGACCAGGCTCAACGAGGTGTTTCCTGAAGGAAACGTCCAGGAAACTGACTAGAAAGAAGTTTTACGTCTGCACAAGATCCACTCCTGTCCCGGACACAAAGCAGCCCCTGGGAAACGCCTTGTCAACGCCTGTTTCCGCGAGGCCAAGCCCACCTCCCGGTCCCGGCTTCCCTTGGTTCTGCCTTTTCGTACGTGCCTGTGAGGCGTTTGTCTGCCGAGGGCAGGCGAGGCGCGGAGGCGGCCTCTGGACAGGAGCCCGCGTCCTTCCAGAACGCCGGCGTTTTGACTAAACCTGCTTTTCTTTCCACGGGGGGGGGGGGGGGGGGGGGGGGGAGATAACCGCGTCAGTCAGGGTTTTGTAAAGAAATGAAACAGATTTCATACAATAAGCGATGTGCATACAGACGCATTAGAACAGCTGGAAAACCAACGATCAGGAGAGGCGTCACTGACCTTCAGGAAATGTGGGAGCCGCGGGCAGCGCCGACACGGGGTTCCCAGAGCCGCGAAGCCCGTGAACACGTGGTGTCCACGCCGTCCACGCCGAGGCGGCCTCGGCCGGAGCGGGCGGCTCGGGGCCCTGTCTCCTCCCAGGTCCTGTGGCGCCCGCACGGGCAGAAGCGAAGCTCGTGCCGGCCAGCGGTCTTCGGACGGCGGGGCCAGGCTCTCCGGACTCGGG